GTTAAAATTATATAAAATAAAATAAACAAAAAGTAAGCTAAGAATGACTGTTTAATTTTTATCAAATTAAATGTTTTAATAGTCTTAAATTTATTCTAAGCATTAGAAGCTAGTTATTATTTTTTTTTAATTGACCTATCAAGCCATTTTGGCGCGCCAACCTGGTACACATTTTCCAGATGCAAAAAATATCCCATAGTTGTCCCGTAACAAAAATTTTTTTTCTTTTCTATCAATAAAGCAGGCCCCTGGTGGCCGATTTCAGCGCATATATATTCAGCTTACTTTTACATGTCTGTTTCGAGACTTGTTCCCTACAATTGATATGTTGTTATGCCAGAAATTTTTACGGTCGCGACATTTTGTCACGGCTTTTATCTATAGTAATTCCCCGTTTCACTATGTATAAACCGACAGGATTTTACTGTAAATAATTAAGATTATTTAAAACTCCGTTCTCATAAAATCCTGACTTTTTATGCGTTCAGAACCGGGGAATTACTAATACAAAAGTCTCATAAGGCGTAGTAAACTCGCTAACGTGATCTGCATATTACTATATGAAATGTGTTGTTTATTGGGTATTGTAACTATCCTTGTCAGCCTTCCAATTATTCTTTTCGTGGTTTGGATCGTGGTCATTAATATTATTATTGCTGGGCTTGCGGTATGCAACAAGCAAAACTAACCTTATCTTATTTGCGCAAGTAACTTAAAGTAACCTCATATACTATTATAGCTCTTTCCTATTTCTGGTATCTTCCTCCTAATTGCAATCAACAACTATATCGGTTATTTTATCAGCACCAGTGTTATGAAGGGTCTAGGTGAGTTTTGATAATCAAATTTGTGCAATATAAATTTTTAATACCATCTTCTTTTTTAAAAAAATTTTTCTAACTACCGGTACAGATATGTTGAAGGCCAATGATAAAAAAATAGATGTCAATAATTTAAATCTTGATCGCTCATATACCCTTGAAGAATTCGAAGTTATCAACGACCAGGTCAAAACACGCACACTAGAAATTGACGGACATCCCGTCAACCTTTTTGATCTCGACAAAAATGGCAAGCTTATCCCTATGCCACAATCATCTTACTCAAGAGAAAAGGTTGTTGCTGAGATTGTTAAACAACTCGGTAACTGGAATGTCTGGACACAGCAAAATGGGGGCGTTACCTCATCACAAGGAGGATTCGATTTTGATGTTGGGAGTGGTAAAACAATTAGAGCGCCTGATATTGCTTATACACCCAAAGAAATAGATCGTAAATTGAATGCACAACAGAATTGGAGTTTTAAAGGTGATCCTTTCACCCCTATATTTGTTATCGAAGTTGAAAGTATTTTAACTCATTCAAAGTTTGAGGAACTTGATAAAAAATTCAATGATGTATACTTCGCGGAGGGGACTTCTGTACAATTGGGATGGTTAATAGATTCAGAAAATAAAGAGATCCACATATATAGAAGAGGTCGACGTCGTATTAATCATGGATAGAAAGATGTTAATGCTAAGGATTTTTTACCAAGGTTTATTTTAGAAATATGGAAAATTGAGCATGTAATTTCACAGGTGTGTTTTTATTATTTTTTACTTTTTGACATATACAATCAATGTTATCATTCTTATATTTCTTTGATTAATTACAGCGAGAATCGGTATCACCTGAACCAACTGAAAATAATACACCACACAATTGTCCTTACTGTTCAGAAACCTTGCTAGTGTATATGAAATGATTAAACATATTGAGAGTAATCATGCATACAAACGAAGACGTATTGATTAGCATTTGGGTTAGACTTATTACTTCTAGGAGAAATATACATTTATAAATGCTTTTTTCAATGTAATAAATCCAATAAATAAAGTATCTATTTAGTTGTCGCGTGTGACAATTATTTGCAGGTTATATTGGTTTGTAAAACGGGAATATCTCCTCATCTTCATTCCAGTACATTTGTAATTATACAAAAATATATAGGACATGTATATTTCTGAATACATATCGATATGATCGTGACAAATGTCAGTTTTTTTTTAAAAAGCCTGATTACGAAATCTCACTTATTTGCATTTATAATTCTGATTGAAGCATTTGTTGCAGTATTCATATAAACAAACTTTTGAACATATCTGCATCTTATATAAAATAATGGGAAACTCCAAATCCGAACTAGATTTGTTGAGACAGGAGAATGCCAGACTTATGGCTAGAATCAAAGAATTGGAACAGATCGAAAAAGAAAAAGACGAGCTTGAGGTTAGAATTGTGGGATTAGAACAGACTACAAAGTTAACTCAAACAGAAAATGCCGAGCTCAAGAATGAAATTGTAAAATTAAAACGAGCTGTTAAGAATATTGAAAAGCAAAATCGAACAGTTACTAATAATTTAACCCCACAAGGCCTGCTTTCACAGAAATCTCCAGAATATTCCACTCCATTACCTAGCAAGCATTGCTCAAATGGTGAAAATGCGCAGATTAAAGATTCTTCAACTCGCCACGAAGCGGATCAATCAGCATAGTGGACAATCGTTGTTACACAAACTTTCCAAATTTGAAAATCGTGACTCAGGGTTGATCCATCCAATAAAACTAAGTCAAGCAACTTATTGCAATTGGTTGTATTTTTGCACGTGATAATTGGCCAATAAAATGATAATACGATTATTATATGATTTAAAATTTTTATTTTACTAAATCAAAGATATCTCACGATCTAGAGGTCAAAATTCGATGATTTTTATACCATTCGATTCGTCTCATCATGACGAATTTAATGATATAAAAATCATCAAATTCTGACTTCTAGATCATAAAATATTAGACGATAATATAATCACTATTTTCTTATACTTCTTCACAAGAAAAAATCTATTTTTTTTGCATATATAAGGTAAAGGGGGTATTATGACACAGGACAAATTATGATGCACTTATTGTATTTTGTAATACATTTACCAAAAATGAATGATTTTGATATCAATCGATTCGTCTCAATGAGACAAGTTGAATGGTACTAGAATCATGTAATTCGAATTATCAGATTACAAGATATCACTATTTGAATATTATATAGTAATGTTTTTTCTTTAAGTTCTAGTGAAACATAATAATAATACATGTAAAAGTGATATATAAATTAGTAAAATTAGTGTTATTAGTCAAAAACCTAAACTACAACTAAGTTAATATTATAAATATCAGTATAGCTAGCTTAGTTGACAAAGTAATAAAATATAAATTTTTTTTTTTTTTTTACTTTATACAACATGCTATTGACAAGATTTTTATTAGTATAGATAATTTTAAGCAATGATTACATATGTGAGAGTACAACTAGCCACATATACAACTTTAGATTGTCTAATTTAAGTAGTCTGCCTGAAGGTTCTACACTAGCTACTATATCTGAAATTTATTTGAAAATTCTTTATTTAAACTTTCTAGCTATATGCTATTCCTATCATGCTATTATTTATTATCTAATATTCACTTAACTCTGTATTACTTTTCTTTTTAAAAGATATCAACAGAGCTGACATGTGTCTACAAACTTTAAGATTTGAAGTCTAGGCTTATCTCAGGTACCTCTTCACTAATTTTCTAATTAATAAGTGCTGTAGTACCTAACTATGCTATGCTATATCTCAATCTAGCTTGTATATACCCTTGTTCAATGTTTATACAAACTTAGTTTCTACTATAGCTTTTTACTGAGTTAGTTATCTGTGTTTTCAAATATTACATAAAATAGGCTCTTTCAAATCTGGTTACCACTCAGATTAGTATTGCTGAAAGTTATCTATACTTTCAGATAATATATGAAACAGATCTTTCCAAATTCAGTTAGCTACTAAGCCAAATTAGTATTGCTATATGATCTTATATAACAGACTTATGTATATCTATTCTACTAATCTTTTTATATGCAGGTTTTTTAATGAACTTACTTATATTCTAGTTACTAATCTTTTTATATACAGATTTTTTTCTCAAATCAAATATTAACTAGTATAACTGTTAAAATTGTACTACTTTACCTAACTCAAGATTTTACTATACAGATCCCTTGTCCATAGATCCTATCAAGATTTATTCATATAATGTTATACTCTCCCAAATACTCTTCACACTTTTAATATCCTAATTGGTATTGATACAATGTGATTTACAAGGTTACAACTCTAGAAACAAGCAGAGTTTACTGTAAGTTAAATATAGATATCTAGGTAATTATTTAATTTTATTAACAGTAGAATTTGAATCTTAGACTTTTTACATAGTAGTCTGGCAATCTAACCATTATACTAAGATCAATAGACCTTAAATATAAATATTTAAAAGTAATTTTTGATTAATTAAGTTAATTAAAGAATTCAAAATTCAAATATTATAAAAAATTTATTTATACTAGATTTTAGATTCTTAATCTATATAATTTTGAAGGTAACTAATTCTATTCTTACTAAGAGTTGACTAAGCTGATATTTCAAAAAATCAACTGACTTAGTCAGCAAGTTAACTAAGTCAACTAACTTCTAATAACTTATTAATAATATAAATAGTCTTAAACATATTAATTAAAATTTAATCAAAGTTTAATTTAAATTTTATTAATTATGAAACCTCAAAATTTTAATTCAGTATACTTATTGTTCTCTAAATATATAGTTAGAGGTTTAGTTTTTAAGAATTGACTTAGAAAAATTCTTCTGTAAGTACTAGCATATGTACTTTTATAGCTGTTTTTATAAATTTTGAGATATTTGATAAAAAATAGTTTGAACAAATATTGCTAGTTCAATAAGTTTGTAATTTCATAGAGATAATTTTTGATTTAGATATGAATTACTATAATTCATATCTAAATTAAATGTTTATTACTGCTGAATTATAAACTTATCAAACTAATAATATTTGTTTAGACTATTTTTTGTCAGATATCCTAGAATTTATAAAAATAGCTATAAAACATAATATCAGATACAGATATAGATATTATGTTTTAATAGTATGTATACTAGTATTTGCAGAACTAATCATCTGAAATATTATAAGTTTAATAATATATATTTATAAATAAACAGAAAAATAATAGTAATATATTATAAATAAATATAACTTATATACTTTATACTTCAATAAGACTAATTCTTCTTAAAATTGCATTTAAATAAATCAAATCAACTTTAAATTAACTTTAAATCAGTTTTAAATAAATCTATACTTAAAGTAAACTAGTATGTCTTTATCTAGTAATTGATTTAAGCAAAACTAGACTATTAAAAGAGCTTTTAAAGAGCTTGAGAATTCTCTAACTAATTCTAAAAAAAAAGTAGTAAAAAAATTTAGTATTCCTAAAGCAACTCTAAAATGTACTATAAAAAATCAGAGCTCTTTAAATTATTTAGATCTTGCTAATTTTTTAACTAACTATGAAGAACAACAACTAGTTAGTTATTGTCTAAATATACAAAAATTGGCTTTAAACTAGTGAATCATTGTATTATAGAAATCATTAATAAAAGTAAAAGATAATATTCTTTTAATGAGAATAAGCCAAGCAAATTATAGTAGATATATTTTATAAAAGACTATTCTGAGCTTTTATTTCATATATCTCAGGCCTTAAATAAAGCATAAACACAAAGAGCTAATCCTATTATAGTATAAGATTATTTTAGAAAGCTTAAGAAAATTATCAATAAATATTCACTTACTGCTGATAGAATTTAGAATATAGACAAAACAGGTTTTGTTCTCAATTCCAAACTTTGTAAAGTTATTATAAAAAAATGTATATAGCAGATAATAATAAATTTTGAAATTAGTATTTAAAATAAAATAAAAATAAATAAAAATAAAAAATAATCAAAGTATTAATTTTCTTCTCAAAACACACTCTTTCCACTGATCCTTAAAACAATATACGGAGTAAACAACTTTTTTCAAAAAACAATAGAAGCCTTAAATATTTCCTAGTTGAACAGTCTTATAGAAGAACAGCGTATGGGATAGGCCTAGAACAATGTTCGATATAGCTACACTAGAGTGACTATGCTAGCTGACTATAGCAGGTCAAACTTTAAAACTGCGCAAATATTTAAGAGTATATTTTTATATGAAAGAAGTAAAAGAAGCTCAAAGAAACAACCAAACACCAAGTTTAAACTAGATTAAACTTGTAGCCACTCTTTAATAACTCCATATAAACACCGCTTATATCTCTTCAACCACTACCTTCAAACTTTTAATTTTCTATTCTCATTTTCTTGAGAAATTCAGCTCCCCCGTTAGAAGATCGACATTTGTAGAACTTTTATTTTAGGTAAGATATTAGATGTTCTGATGTAAACAAGAGAAATCTCGAGTAAACAAAAGAACACATGGTTTATAATCACAAATCTAGTCACGTGAATAGAAACCAGAAGAGCATAATATTGAGATATATTATTATATGTAATATAATATATATATAATTTTTAACTATACTAGATATCTTTTCTTTCTTTATGTTAGTTTAGTAATCCTCTGTTCCTAG